AAAACAATACACCGTCTAAAGGGGATACTATTTAATTATATAAAAGGCAGGTAATAAAATACATTTCTCTCTTTCTAATCAGGCAGTGAGGCATAAACTGTTGGGACATACCGCTCGGGGCCACTGCTGTCTGGGACTGAAACACTGGCATTGTACTGCATTGGTCATTGGCGTTCGTGGATGTTGGCATTGGGCATGGGCATTCAATCAGAAGTTGTCAAGTATGGTACCCGTTTGGCAACGAGCACATTTTTGGGCATAGCCAACCAGGGTTTTCACATGGGCGTTCAGGGGCGGATGGGCCAACGTCATGGTGGGCAACGCAGGGGTAAGTCGATCCAGTACATGGGCAACGGAGATATATGGCCAAAAAAACAAGGAGAGGGAAAAGGGGGAAAAGCAATAAATTTTAATTTAATACAAACTATACTCATACTCTCAATTAATGAAACAAGCTTAAGTTGTTCTGAAGACTAACACAATAATGGACTTCTTTATATCTGACTGTGGTTTAACACTTAAGGACCTCAAATGATGGTTCTAACTTTAAAAAAAAGATAAAATAAAACGATGTTTCAGTAGCAGGCTGGCTCATGAGGGTAGACACAAAACCTGTCGTGACTCAAAGTTTATTGAAATTCTTGAGGAAATGGGGAAATTAATAACCCAGATAATTATACAGAACATCTGGATTAAGAGGAAAGAGGTTGATAAGACAAAACAAAAATTCCCACACCACCAAAAACCCTAACTAATAAAAGGCTGGTTTGGTTTTCTGGAGGTTTGTCACGCATTCCTAGAACCTAACAGGCAGGTTTGTAAAATTTTAAACAAAATTTCAAGTTCAGTTTACAGTAATCAAGAGGAACATACAAAGATCTGCGACCAAGAGAGAAATGAAATACTGTCAAATAAGTACTCAACACAAAGTTATTATTTGCCTCAATTTTAGCAAGAAAAACATTAAGAAATGTGTACACTATGAGAAAATTTTAAAAGAAATTTTGGTGTAGCCAAGTCCTATAAACGTGCTCACTTCTGGCACTGCCAACATTCAATGTGTCTAATCACAAGAGTCAACCCACTATAAAATATGAAGACTCAAATCATAGGCATTGACAAATGGTTTCCCAGTTATAAGATTAAGTGTCTACTCTATTCTTTACCCATATTTAAATCATGCAACCTCAACATTAAATGCTTTGTGTTTCATGTGCAAGCTGTTAAACAGATGGACTTTTTTTTAAAAAAAGGAAATTTAAAAATTTCTGGATTTAAGCAGCCACCTGCAACGGTTTTCAGTAATACCGTAATTGATCCACACATGGGAAATGGTGCAATCAAAGGTTTTCACACTTTGTCGCTATTTCTAATTAAGATGTCATCTTGCTTGAAGTGAATAATTTGGTAGATTCTTATTAGAAAAGTGGAGAGGTTTAATATATACCCCCCACCCTACTCAATCTGGGCTTTTGTTAAAACGGAAACGGCAAACCTTGAAATCATCTATGTAATAAATTATTACAGATGTATTGTAGCTATCCAATGATTTCTATGATGTAAATCTTTAAATTTCTAGAAACACATAAACTGAAGCTGCTCGTGTAGTCGTTTAAACTCTTTAATACTTACGTCTGTACGGAGAGCCTTAATATTCTTGCCTCCTTTTCCAATCACTGCTCCAGCATTCTGGAAGACAGACAAAAAATTATTTTGCCACTCCCTAAAATTAATGTGCCTACCTTTGTGCTTAGATTTGACAACAACTAAAAATCTCTAACCTTTCTTTTTTAAGAATAAAAATTTGGGGACACAAACATCACCAGGCCAAAAAAAAAATAATAAAAAAAAAAGATAATGATTCTAAGTGCTTTGAGGACTAAAAGACTGAGCTTTGGAAAAGTCAATGTCAGATAAGACATTCTGAACATAAAACTCAGCACAGATTAATTTTATAGTACCCTTTGGTAAAATAAATAATTTAGCAGTAGGTATGTTCATATTGTGGTATGTGATAAAGTAATCAAGTACACAGCCAACTAAGGTATTTCCTAAGGGGTCCACAATGTAAGATTTAATCTGTTAATACTTTAAGAATCACACCCTCCTCCTAGTTTGACCTGTACTGGCTCCCTACAGCAAAGGCTTTACTCTTTTATCAGTGAAATAACAAAATCACCAGAGGCTACAAGTTTATTCAGGAAAAACTACAAACATATCTTTTAGATTATCCAATCTGTAAAGCTTTGATGGCTTCCCAGAGGGCCAAATCAGACCTTATCTTTCTACTTCAGTATGAACCACCTCCAGATTTTCAATAAAAAAAATTTATACCTTGCTCTGAAGCAGAATGCGCAATTCAACCATCTCATCAGTGTTTCTAGATCTTTTAAATGCTTGTTCCTCTTCCATATCTTCTGCAGGGCGTTTACCTAGAAATAACAGTTCAGATTTCAAAAAAAGTAGCAAAGATCTCAAGGAAAGGCACTTTCATTTTAACCTTTAAGTTAAATTAAAGCCAATTCCATTATTTGAAGAGATTTGCTGCTAATCCCAATTATGTTTTAAAAAGCCAAAGGCACTGTTATAGTCTTGGTTTTCTGCTCCTTCCTAATAACATTTACCAAACAAGATAGTGTGGCAAAATACTTCAAAAGATTAGAAATTCCAAAATGCAAAGTAAACTTTGCTTCTAGCTCACAAATAAAAGCTAAGGTATAGTGGACAAAAAATCGGACTACAACCACTAGTAAAGATAGTACATCACACCACACAATTATAAGGTAATGTAGTGAGATTCAAAGAATGAGAAAATATCAAATTGTTAAAATTAAGAGAAGTCTTCTCACCAAATTCACCATTAGTCTCAGTGTTGGGGAAGGTTTCCTCTGGCTGTTCAGTTTCCATTTTCTTCTATTAAAAGGACACACCAATCTGTTGAAAAATAAAGAAGCTAGTACATTTGGCTTATTGAAAAGCAAGCTGTAAAAAGACTCCGCTTCTAGGACGTACCAGTTATTATATATCCTTGCAGAGCAGCACTGAAGTGTTCTGGGTCGGACCAACAACTGACACCCTAGTGCTGCAGTAGCCTATAAAAACCAACATAAGTCAGTTTTGCTTCTCTTGTATGCTTATTAACTGAACACTTCCTGATCGCAAAGAACACAACAAACTAGCTATTGCTAAAACCTGATTCTCCATGTTAGGATCTTAACATTCAAATGATTACCTAAAAAAAAAAACCAAAAAAAACCAAACTCAAAGAAGCCTGATATTTTTGCAAAGGAAAAAAAAAAAAAACCAAAAAACAATTTTTAGCTACTGGATTCAGTTCCACCACGACAATCTGTTGTTTTATACTGTATATTCACAGACGCCTAAAAAGGTACAAGCCTGGACCCCAATTTTGTCCACCAAGCACACATTCACGAAAAGCTACGCCGCATCTTATTCACTAGCGATACTAGCTTTACATGAAAAACCTCTAACCGCTTTTGGGCTTCTTTCGACTCATGACTTAAGGCTGTTCCCTGAAAGCTCAAAAACTTACAGACACAAAGGCAAACGCAAGCCACGTCTAACAGCCAGGACCGTCTACCCGAGGGATAAATAAATCCACTCAGCAGAGCTCACAGGGCCCTGGGACGCTAACCCTGTCACGAGCAGAATACTTCGAACCGGGTCCCCAAAGGGAAAAAACCAACAATTACGCTTCCAATACGAAAGCGAAAGATTCTGCGAGCCAGAACGGAGACGCGGCCGCCAACGGCCTTTTGAATTCGGAGCTCCCCTCTCGGGACTAGCGACCTGACGCGCGGCCTCCCCACGACGGCTCGACAGGAGAGCGCCCAAGCACCCTCGACGCCTCGCGGTCTCCCCGAACCCTGCCCACAAACGAACTCTCCTAACGACGATCGCCCTTCCGGCCCATCCCTCAGTTAAAACCCGCCGCGCGGTGTGGACCGAGAAGTTGCAGCCAAGACGGCCGAGTTTCTCCGAAGGATAGCGCCGTCGCGCGCCGTTCCCCCACGCCTCGGAGCCCCCGACCCTCGGGCCCCGAAAGCCGCCCAGTCCGGGCTCGACAGGCCCGGGCCGAGCGCGCCCTCCGCCCCCGAGGCCGGGATCGGCGACGGCCGGACCGCGGGACTCCAGAACGCGCGAGCCCAGCGCCCCGGCGCCGCACCTCTCCTCCCCCGGAGCCGACAGGAAATGGCGGCCCGCGGAATGGCGACTACGTGCTACTAGGCGGAGCCGAGCGCGGACCCCCTCCCCCACCCACCACGCGGTCCCAAGAGCTCATCCCCCGCATCCTCCCCCCACCGCCGGGGAGACAAAGCCACCGAGGCCGCCCCGACCGCTCCATGCCCCCCCGCTCGGACCCCGGCGCCGGGCCGGGGACCCCCCGTGAGGCGGCACCCACACAAAGAGAGCGGCGCCGCGGCCTCTCCCCGCCTCGGACTCGCGCCCGCCCGGCCTTTCCGTCTCCCCGACGCCGAGCTCCCAGTCCCCGCCACCGCGCAGCCGGAGCGCGGCCCGAGGGCACACGCCTCGAGACTCCGCGAAGGCCCGAGTACCTCAGCGCGGACTGCGGATATACGTACGCTCCGGCAAATGGCGGAGGTGGGGGAGGGGAAGCCGGGCAACGTTCCCGCTCGGAGGAGCGGCCAACCACCCGGCAGCCCCTGGAACGTCTCCCTCAAGCGGAAAAACCGGGCTCCGACCCCAGCCCCCGCGAGCCGCTCGCCCAACCCGCTCCTCACCCCGCGAGGCCGCCGTCCCTCCGCTGCCGCGCCGCCTCAGCCGGTCAGAGCTAGACAGAAAACGAGCGCAGCCCCCTCCCCCGCGTTCTCCCCGCCGCCACGCCCGATTGGCTGCCCGGCCTTCGGCGGTGGTGCCGGGACGACGCGATTGGCCCAGGGCCGCGTCCATCAAGGCGACGGGGGAGGCGGCGACCCCGCCTCCCGCCGGCGCCTCCCTTCGGGCTGGAAGGCCACTGAGGGCCCGAGCCAACTCGGGACTGGGAAAAGTCAGTGCAGCCTTTCAGGGAGGCCAAACCCCTGCCTGAATCCGTAACGCCCAAGTCCCGGTAACTCCAATTACCTCTAGGCCGCAAACTAGTGGGACGCAGGCAAGACGTCGAGGTCGGTGCAGCAGAGAAACAGAGGATAATGGCGTCTGCAGTGCTGTCGCCTGGAGCGCCCTCCTCTCTCGTTCGCGCACTCGCTAGCTGGGGGGCGGGGGGAGGGGGGAGCCTCTCGCGAGATCTAAAGCCTAGCCAGTTCACGCGCACAGGGAGGGGGCGGTGAAGGGGCGCTTTCTAACGTAGGAGTCTTCGGGGGTTGGAGGAGGGGCGGGAGTGCGCGGGAAATCGGGAAGAGGCAGACTCGGGTGACGGGGTGCGCCCTGGCGATTCCCGTTCCCAGAGTTGCGCGAGGGGCAGGCGAGACGCCCAGGTCGGCGCTGCGCGCCCAGACTTGTGCCCCCCGTTCCCGCAGTCCACACTCGCGTGTGCCTCCCTCCCCGGCGCCCCCACGCCACCCCGCCCGCCCCGGGCTGCGGGACGACCTGCGCCGCGGTAAGTGCGAGCCGCCCGCGCCCGCCGGCCCGGCCCGG